CATTTATCGGCAGTCTCACCAGACTTTTTGAGGGTCTTACTAAATTTATCGGTGGTTTCTAGAAAGTTCTTGAAAAACCTTAAAAGTGTGGTTTTGAACTTTATATCCAGTTGTTTGCTTTCCTCCATTTCTGTCATTTGTGACCTGTTTCTTTGTCTCCACATTTTTTATGCTGCCCTGTGTTGGTAGAGTGGCTTTGTGGGCTAGGTGTCCTATAGGGCCCAGTGGCTCAGCCTCCCCAATTACTTGAGGTGCACCCCTTTGTGGGCTTTGTGCACAGTCTTTTTGTAGTTAAGCCTTGATTGTTGTAGGTATCACTGGGAGGAATTGACCTCCAGGCCAGTTGGTTGTAAGAATCAGCTGTGTCTATGGTGGGAGAACTTCTGTGCTGAAGACACCCTTATGAGGCAAGACTTGCTTCAGTGGGGCTTTGGTGCTCACTGAGTCGGCCCCCTGAGTGTGTCCCTTATGGATCTGAGGAGTTGTAATTGGATGGTCCCACTCTGACCACTGGATACACTGACTCTTGGATTTAAGGAGGTGCTAATTTAGCCTCTGCCTGAGGCTATCCATCAGGAGCTACGAAGAGATCTGCAGATTCCCCTTCCTTTTTTGGGGTTTGTAGGTGCCCAAATGAGGCCCAGCTGTGAAGCCGTGCAAGCTGCTGTGGGGCCTTGGGCCTTCTCTTGGAAGTTCTGGGTCTGTCTGGCCCAGCTGCAGTTTGTTAGGTAATTTTCAGATTTCAAAGGGTCAGGGCATTCATATGCAAAAGCCTCTGCCTCAGCTTGGGTGGGGCGGGATCTCAGGGAATCAACAGGGAGGAGCAAGCAGCTATGGCTGATCCTCAGCCCGGCCCTAAGGGGCCCCACGTCTCAGTGTCCCGGCAATCGCTGCAAGCACCTTTGAGAGAAAGCCACCCTCGAGTTCCGAGTTCTGCCCACTGCCAGACAGTCCAGTTTCTCCCTGTATAAGTCTGGGTCCCCAGAGACTCACGTGGAACTGGAATTCAGAGCAGTCGGGGGCTTGTGACTCCCTCCCGATTCAGAAAGACAGCTGTGTCCTCAGTTGCCAGCCCTTGCCATGTGCGCCTCCATACCTTTGCACTTCCGCACCTCCTTTGAGTCTCAGTGTGCTTTTCTCTTTCCTTCTAGTTGTAGAATTTCTGCTCAGCCAGCCTTCCTGTGGTTCTAGATGATTTCCGTTTTGTCTTTTAGTTGTATTTTTGAAGTGGTTGTGCAAGGCAGCAATTTCTGGTGTTTACCTATGCCGCCATCTTGGTTTCCTCCCCGAGTTTCTTTCTTTTTTAAAAAAATTTATTTTATTGATTTTTTACAGAGAGGAAGGGAGAGGGATAGAGAGTTAGAAACTTCAATGAGAGAAACATTGATCAGCTGCCTCCTGCACACCCCCTACTGGGGATATACCTGCAACCAAGGTACATGCTCTTGACCGGAATCGAACCTGGGACGCTTTAGTCCTCAGGCCGACGCTCTATCCACTGAGCCAACCAGTTAAGGCTATGAGTTTATTTCTGAACTCTCAGTTGTATTCTGGGTCTGAATCTTAGCTTTGCTACTTTCAAACAAGTATGACCCTGGGCAATATGACATACACCTTACATTCTTCAAACAGTTCTAGAAAATTCAGCAATCCCTGGTTAAAAATCTTATTTTGATCTTATCTATGGCAATCCTGACCCATACCATACTTTCCCAAGCTTAATTTCATGGTGAAGTTCAAGTGTCACACATGGGAACAATTTTTAGGATTCTAGGAAAATTCAATGAGCTTTTCCTCAGTACAGTATTTATACAACACCATTCTAAGACTTAGAATACTTGTGGTATTTTTTTTATATAGTTTTCAGTACATAGACATGTCTTTCAAAAATGCTTCTGTCCAATTGTCATTTTGGTAAGAGGCTGTACTTGATCCTCCCAGGTAGCTTCCAACACAGATTTTAAGGAATGCAGACATGCAGTTCTGGAAGAGACAGTAATAGAAATGCAGTGTGAGATGGGGAAAGAGATACAATTTGGAAGAGACTTGGAATGAGAGCCAGATTCAGAGAAACTCAGAGGGACACAGAGACAAAAATAGAAGCGGAAATATGCTGTTTAGAAATCCTCTTGTAAATAGTCAAGATAAAGTTCAATGAAGGAGGTGAGATGATTGAAATAGAGGTGTAGGGAAAAGAGCACAGGCATGGTGACACAGTACTCTGTGTATGTATGTTCTTGGTTGATTTGCTTAACAATGCTGAGCCCCAAATTCCTAACTATCCTATATAATAAAAGCCTAAGATGCTAAGTGTCCAGTTGTCTGGTTGGCTGTTCAACCAATCAAGCATAATATGCTAATGATATGCTAAGGCTGCTCAACTGCTCTCTGTGATGTGCACTGACCACCAAAGGGCAGATAGTCAACGGGTCGACTAGTCGCTATGGTGTGCACTGACCACCAGGGGGGCAGATGCTCCGACTGGTAGGTTAGCTTGCTGCTGGGGTCCGGCTGATGGGGACTGAGTAAGATGGGCCGGACATGCCCTAGAGCCCTCCTGCAGTCCCTCCCTGGCTGGCCAACCTCCCATGTCTCTCCCCAGCCCATTTTGTGCACCATTGGGGTCCCTTGGCCTGGCCTGCACCTTCTCACAATCCGGGACCCCTTGAGGGATGTTGGAGAGCCAGTTTCAGCCCGATCCCGCAGGCCAGGCTGAGGGACCCCACTGGTGCACGCATTTGTGCACTGGGCCTCTAGTAATACATATATAGTAGTAATACATTCCTCACAGATTTCTTCATATAATTTCATGAAATAATGTGTGTGAAGTGCTTAACACAGAACTCAGAATATAGGAGGTGCTCTATAAATGCTAGGTCCCTTTCTAACTTCTACTTTAAGGGATTCTTTATTTAACAATGATTGATACCTAGTGTGTATGAAGCTCCATACTTTGAATAAAAATATGAAATTTTTGAAGCCCTCAAGGAGCATGGAGAGTTAGCTGGAGACACAGATAAGTAAATGAAAGAAAACAATATTCTGGAAGCTACTGGTGGTTGAGGTGATAAACATGTAAATGAGAGAAGTTCTAGTTTTCTAGGCTTGGATGGTGATATTCACCAAATAGAAAAAAATTGGAAGAGGAACAGGTTTTGTGTGTGTGTGTGTGTGTGTGTGTGTGTGTGTGTGTGTGTGTGTTTCAGGGAGGGGAGAATAACAAGCTCACTTATGGATATATTGAATTGAGCAGTGAAGCTATCAAAAACAATACTCCTGCCTTGAGTGGAAGTTGGAATCTATCATCTCCAAAGTATCTTCCAATTCTAAGATTCTATGATATATGTACATTTTAATTGTTTTACTTTATCTCTATATGTGGATGCTGATAGATGTTATGTTACAGAATACTAGCCAACAATTTTCAAGCACTTGTAAATTGTAAAATAAGAATACCACAAGTCTCATTTTTTAAAAAGTGGTTATACAAACTTACCAAACCAACTGAGAGTGACCATTTTACAAAAAGATTCTTCACTTTTACACCAATGGCCTATATATTTCTGCAAAATAGTTATTTCAGTGTACTTAAAAGGTTTGATTTAGAAACAGCTTTTAGGGATACATCTATTGTACTTTTGCAGAAGGTATAATTGTACTCAGAGTTTAAGTATCCTGTGAGAAGGTTATGTGGGTATCTCTGATAGATGACCAAATCTGAACAAATGTAAGTGGCAGAATAAAATTCTCATGCCCTGATAAGTGTCTCCAATGGTAGAGAGATGATGAACAAAAAGTTTTTCAAAAGCAAAAGGATAAATAGGATTAATACTTTTAGTCAATAAGATATTTTACATTGTTCCTTAGTTAAGGCTAGCTTAGAATATTTTTGTGTGTTGATTTTAATTAATGGAAAAACTATGGCAACAAGTATCTATATGTTCAGCTCAGAAGTGCCCGTGAAAGAAGAGATAGATTGACCAAGAGCTTAGTTTCTTCTTAGTTGGGTGACTTCTTTTATCTGATGCACACTAAAATGAAGATTACCAGATCTGAAAATTTCTCGCTCCACACTTTGCTAATTTATATCTAGATCTTGATTTGCATCTTGTTATATTTTAGGAAGTATGAAAAGACACATGGGGAGGTGAGCTTCATAGCAGACTTGTGCTAGTTCAGTTCAGCAGGTGTTAAAAACCAACTGAAGCCACAAGGTAATATGTCTTCATTATTGATCTGCAACTATTGCTGAGTAAGTTGAAATCATTGATCATTTAGTTTGATGAAATGAAGACTTTTCTGAAGGTGAAGGAAGAAAGTGAAAATGAAAACTATCATATTTTGGCTCTAGTACCTCATTATACTAAAAATGGGACAAAACAGAAATTTCCATATGTGTTTGTAGGAAGTACTTCAGATCCACACTCTTAAAAACTTATTATCCTGCAATCAAGAACTACATTTTTCTAAAGCTCTCTCTTCATTTTATGCAGGCTCTTAGAATGGAATCATTTCAAGAACTAGTGAATTAGTTTGAAATATGGCCTTGTTCTCCTTCCACTAGATGTGAAATAGGAGCAGCCTCTATATTTTACCTTGAAGTAGAATGAAGAACAATATTGGAAAATGGAGATTGAGAATTTTTCAGGGCCTCAGGTTCGTCATAGTCATGGAGGACAAGAAATGTCAGTGGAGAATATGTGAGAGAATGATATATGCCAGTGTTGTGAGCCTAAATACTAATGTTAATCACTAAACCAGGATTCAGAGGTAGCCACTAGTTCTATTTATTAGTGCAGGAAAATAAACTGAAGCATTTGTCAGAAACAAGGTTTGAAGGGGGAGAAAAACTTTCTGATTAATTCCTGAATCATTTTCCTATTACTCCAGCATCCCTGGGGAATCCAGTATGTAAAGTCTCCATTGGTTAGTGAAGAATTATACTACATTCACTTTTCCCTTGGAAATGCTTAATGACTCTTGCTTTGTATTCCTTGCAGGTGAAAGCCCAGCCTCTGTGGTTCTTAATGCCTCAGCAGGATTATTTTCAATAAAGATGGAAACCCTGGAGTCTGAATTGACCTGCCCAATCTGCCTAGAGTTATTTGAAGATCCCCTTTTGCTCCCTTGTGCTCATAGTCTCTGCTTCAGCTGTGCCCACCGCATCTTGGTCTCCAGCTGCAGCTCTGGTGAATCCATTGAACCCATTACTGCTTTCCAGTGTCCTACATGCAGATATGTTATCTCACTCAACCACCGGGGCCTGGATGGCCTCAAGAGGAATGTGACTCTGCAGAACATTATTGACCGCTTTCAGAAGGCTTCAGTCAGTGGGCCCAATTCCCCAAGTGAGAGCCGCCGGGAGAGGACTTATAGGCCCAGTACCACCATGTCTAGTGAGAGAATTGCTTGCCAATTCTGTGAACAGGACCCACCAAGAGATGCAGTGAAAACATGCATCACCTGTGAGGTCTCCTACTGTGATCGTTGCCTGAGGGCTACACACCCCAACAAGAAGCCTTTCACCAGCCACCGCCTGGTGGAACCAGTGCCAGACACACATCTTCGAGGGATCACCTGCCTGGACCATGAGAATGAGAAAGTGAACATGTATTGTGTATCTGATGACCAATTGATCTGTGCCTTATGCAAACTAGTGGGGCGTCACCGAGACCATCAGGTTGCGTCCCTGAATGATCGATTTGAGAAACTCAAGGTAAGGGATCTGGGAAATATCCCTTACACAACTTTGTGTCTTTGTACACTGTTATGTGGGAGGCAAGTTCACTAGTAAAATGGGTCACTTTTCTTATATGAAAAGTGAGTTAATGTCAAGTTGTCATGAGGAATAACCTACTCACCTGCTAGCTCTCACTGGAACCTGTTTCATCTGTTGTGTAAATCTGCTTGTGTCTGGACAGTTCTGGGGGAATTGGCCTATTGCCCACTATACCAATAGTACATCCAGGGAAACAGCACTCTATTTCCTCTTTCAGTGACATGTTACACACTACATATCGTTGCCATGATTTTTTCCACCTCTTCTTTTAAGTATGTGAGTACCTGTGTAGGTGTGCCATAATTAGCATTTGTGCTTATTTGCCTATTTATGTGTATAGCAATGGGAAGGTTTGGTGTGATTCTGTGTAGGTATGGGTGGAGGTGTCTGAGTAGATCTCTGTAGGTGGGAGATCTTTGTGGAGAACAGTAGTATATGTTTGCACGCTCAGTACTCTAAAGAAAAAAAGTTTGGCACTGGCCACTACAAATTGCCATCAAGCCCTTAACACAGGGCTAATTCTAAGCCTGGTTTAAAAAAAAAACAAAACAAAAAAACACAACAACAACACCAAAATTAAAATAAACAGCAACAACAAAAAAACAGACTAACAGTTCCTAAAAAAGGAACTTAAGTGTACCATGAAGTCAGAAGGAATGATCAAATACCTGAACTAAACATTTAGACTGAAGGCCATAAATATTTAATCCAGTATCAGATTTTGTGCCAGCGTTCCTTTTTGTGGTTAATGGACTGAAGCACTTGTTTGCAGTCCTGCCTTGGAAATTCTTACTCTTTCATTTGTGTTCAGTGGAAAGAGTTCCAAAGTTGTTGGGCCATATATATTTATGTGCAACTCTAAATGCCTGTTTTTAAAGCCCTACTACCTCATGTGGATAGTAAAATGTCAGATCCAAATTGTTTTATTTCCATTGCCTGCCTGTCATGTGATTTAACTTCTCTTAGAATTTTCAGACAAATAAAATGTGTAAATGAGTCAGATTACCACTGCTAAATAGGGCCTGAATATATAAGCCAAGCTCTAAGGAAGATCTAGATAGGATGAAAGGAAGGCAAGAAGTGGGTGGAGAGTTTCCTCTAGCCATGCTTTGGAAAAGTTGATGTAACTTAGGTAAAATTTGTGATGTTGGAGAGGATAGCAATACTCAGAATAGTATACGTATTCTCTTCTGTCATTTGTGGCAAGCAATATTGAGAGTAGTCACACTGACAATGCTTTGTGCCTTTTTAAAAAAATGTTTTTTATTTATTTTAGAGCCAGAGGAAGGGAGAAGGATAGAGAGATAAAAACATTGATGAGAGAGAAACATTGATCAGCTGCCTTCTGCACTGGGAATTGAGCCAGCAACCCAGGCATGCACCCTGACCGAGAATTGAACCCTAACCTCCTGGTTCATGGGTCGATGCTCAACCACTGAGACACACCAGCCAGATGGTTTATGCCTTTTTTGATCATTAATTATATCTAATATTTATAAATTTGTACATAGTTCAATGTTTATGTTTATTTCATTCAAGGTGCTAGTATACTGAGTGAAATAAGCCAGTCAGAGAAAGACAGATATCACATGATTTCACTTATAAGTGGAAACTAATGAACATAATAAACAGATGAACAAGATAGGTCCAAAGTTATGGATGCATTAAAAAGAATGACAGATCTCAGAGGAGGGGAGGAGATGGGAAGAGATTAACCAAAGAACTTATCCTATATAATAAAGAGGTAATATGCAGATTGACCATCACACCCTCGCACAAGATGGCCGCCCCCATATGGTCAAAGATGACTGCCCCATGTGGTCACAAGATGGCCGGCAGTTAGGGGTGACTGCCCCATGTGGTCACAAGATGGCCGGCAGTTAGGGGTGACCAGGCCAGCAGAGGAGGACAGTTGGGGGCAATTGGGCTGGCAGGGGAGCAGTTAGGCATTGATCAGGCTGGCAGGGGAGTGGTTAGGCGTTGATCAGGCTGGCAGGGGAGTGGTTAGGGGGTGATCAGGTTGGCAAGCAGAAGTGGTTAGGGGCAATCAGGTAGGCAGGCAGGCAAGCAATTAGGAGCCAGCAGTTCCGGATTGTGAGAGGGATGTCCGACTGCCTGTTTAGGCCCGATTCTGCTGGGCCTAAACCGGCAGTCGGACATCCCCCGAGGGTCCCAGATTGGAGAGGGTGCAGGCTGGGCTGAGGGACACCCCTCCCCCAGTGCACGAATTTCCTGCACTGGGCCTCTAGTATGCATATATGCATAAACAATAGACACAGACAATAGTGCGATGAAGGCCTTGGGTGAGGCAGGGCCTGGGAAGAGGGGAACATAGGCGGGGGAGAAATTGGAGGACATTTATAATACTGTCAATAATAAAAAATTCTTCTGCAGAGAAGAATAATTTTATTAGTTTCAATTTTTAGAATCATAAGAAGTTAGGCCTTGATCTTGGTCTAGTTGAAGCCCTACACTTTAAAGTGGTATAAACTGAGAGTTTGATAGGTTAAGCCAGTGGTCAGCAAACTCATTAGTCAACAAAGCCAAATATCAACAGTACAACGATTGAAATTTCTTTTGAGAGCCAAATTTTTTAAACTTAAACTATATAGGTAGGTACATTGTTATTAACTTAATTAGGGTACTCCTAAGGCTTAGGAAGAGCCACACTCAAGGGGCCAAAGAGCCGCATGTGGCTTGCGAGCCGCAGTTTGCCGACCACGGGGTTAAGCAATTTGGTCAAAGTCACAAAATTGGAACTGGATCTAAGCTTCTAGACCAGCAGTTGCCAACCTTTCAGACCTCATGGACCACCAGTGGTCCGCGGACCACCAGTTGGCAACCGCTACTCCAAAGGTTTCCTCTAGAGACCATGAGTTAAGGATCCTTTGTACTGCAGCCTGCTGCCACTTTATTTTAGACTTAAGTTTTCCCCATGAAATGTGATTTGAAACTAAACATTATGCTCCAGCAATTATACATCTTATAGATCACACAGATAGACAATTAGCAGCATCAAGGAAAGGACATATTGTATAAACTTATGGCTTCATAATGGCAAGAGATGGGGGTGGGGTTGCAGGAAGAATGGGGGATATGGAGAGGATGGAACAATCTCTGCCAAATATTTGCAGGTGTTAGAACTATAAATAAGGCATTGGCCTTGAGAAATATTCCAAACAGAAAAAAATCTGTATCCATATGTACTATTGAGATAACAAAAGACTGGATATAATAAGCCTGTATCTACACAACACCAGCTTTTTGAAAACATCTAAAACATGAAAACATTGGATGATGGATTAGATATTTGGCATCGTGCAGCTATGGCCCTTGTCTCTAGGGATGGATGGAACACAAAAATATTTTACTAAAATATACTTTAGTCTGTAACTAATCAGTAATTTTTAGAGAAAGTGCAGATTTTGAATCATTCCCCTTTAATTTTTTAAGGAAATGTGCAGAAAAATCTGATTATAAATTAAGTAGAAACTCTTTATGCTCATTTTTGGACAGAGAGTGGAAACATATGAATCATTCCCAACTGTGTGGTTATATTGTCTGGAACATCTTGGATTTGGGGAGGGAGAGGGAAGTGCTGCTTATGTGTGTGTGGGTGGGTGGGGTCACTTTGGCTTGATGCCAGGTGTAAAAGGATATTAGTTCACCACATAAAGCAGAGAGAAAATCTGACTTTCAGTGTCACATATACTCACTTTTTTGAGTTAATTTAGAAAAGCATTTAGGATTATCCCCTTAGTCTACGTGATTCTTCTCCAAGGAGAAAGGAAAACATTAGCTGTCAGAAGCTATGGGGGAGATAGCCTTGAGCATACTTCCCTGGCCTGAGGGAAGCACAGCAGTCCTACAGGAGAAGGGGAAGAATGATAGCAAATACATATATATATATATGGGTTTGACTTTCTGGCCAGTAACTGATACAGTATTTATTTGCACTTTTTGGTTCTGGAGCTTAATTCTTGGCATTTATAACTCTGTACAAACATCTGTGCTTAGGATTAGTATTCTCTAATATTTATTTGTTCAATAAAGAATAAACAAACCATTATGTAGTAGGTGCAAGATCAGAATAACCAGTAGCTAGTTAACATGTATTCAAAATGGTTTAGAGGGTTTGGGATACTTAGTATAGTTTATTATCCTTACTTAATTGTCCAGTCTACTTACATGCCTTCAGAAGACTACCAGTGGTTTAATTAATTCTTCACTTTCAAAGAATAATTGTGTTATGACAGTTATTACAGTAGTAAAGCCTGTCAAAGTAGTTATTTTTTCCATTACCTCTCTTTTTACTTACTAATCACAGTATATAAATTAGTTCATTATTTGTGCTGCTTTTCTATAAAACTGCTTCACATTTTAGAGTTTTCATTGTCACATGAGTTTCTCATCTTAGAAAATATTGATATTATTGTATTAGTAAATGTTGGCTTTATAAAAAGAGATCCATTTCAGTGGCTCTCTCTATCAGTGCTTGATCTCAACTTGATATTCTGAGTCCTGTGCAACTTGGTCCTCATGCTGCCTTTCTGTCTTTTCCCCCTTCCACTCTCAAACATGCTACCTTCATCTACCCAGGGTAGCCTCCTAACTATCTGCTAAACATACAATTCTCTTTTCCAACTCTGAAATTTCACTCTCACTCATGCTCTTTTCTTGGCCTGCTTAACAATCCAACCTATTCTTTAGTGCTCGGTTTAAACCCCACAAGTCCACTCCAGCACACACCAACTATACCATAAATTCTTTGAGGCAAGTCACAAGGTCTTTTCTTCAGTATCCTCCTCAGTGTCTAGCCCATGTAGTCAAGGTTCAGGGTTTAAGAAATCCAAATGAATTAAATATTTGAAATGGATTTGCAGCAAGTATACCAGTATCTGTAGCTTGTTTTGGTTCTTATAAGATATAAATCTGTA